TTGGATACTTGGAGATGTTTTCTGATCGGCTAACGGTAGAGCATCCCAACTGACAGCAGTTCTGTGTAGTCTGGACTTCTCGATGGATTGGCTGTCGACTCTTGGTTAGCTCGCTGTAAAATTTTTAACCTATCATCACTGAGCATCTTTGATCGTATGTTTGTGATTTCGGTGTTAAATTAATGGTCGTAAATGTCGTATTCTAGTAGTTCTACTCGCAGAAAGTGAACAACTACATCCTCACTCTAGTGATCTCAGTGTTCAGCAGACGGACAATGCCGTTGAACAGATCTCAGCAAACGCGAAATTGCCAAAGGCGATTGTGCGCCCCGTTGCACCACCGCGATTGAACAAGGTACTGTATTGAACAAAAACGTGCCTTCTTTTAAGAACTGCCTTTTAGCCGGCCCGAAATGCTTCTGCTGAACCTCTGCCTCCACCGCCACCATTGCCGTCATCGGACGAGGCATTTGTCGAGTCCGCGACTACGTCGGTGTCGACGCAACTCGACTTCTCGCACGTCAGCAAACAGACGATCACTGAACTGTACCGCAGCTTAGACCGCAGTATGGCGAAACTGAAGCGGCAGGCACACGCACATTCGAACGCAAGCTACATCCAGCTGTCGGACAAGGTGCAACAGTTCAAGATGATGTGCTCGGTGTACGCCGAAAACATTTCACCTCACGGCAAGTTCCGCTTTCGCGAGTTGATTACTCGATTGGACAACTACATTCCGCGCATCGTTCACTGTGGCAGTAGTCGCCACTGCGTCGGTGACGAGAACAAGCTTTTGAAGGAGCTGGACTGCACAGTGCGCGACATCGTCTCACTGGTGCTGCGTTAACCACCGATCAAGCGACCACAAGGCTGACATTACGACCTGTTAGTCAACAATCGCTGATCCCAATCGTTTCTGATTGGTTCTAGCGACGCGTCATACCAGATCATGCGCTAAACGCATCCTCATTCTGGCGTGTCCTTGTTTAACAGTTGCACGGCATCCTTTGGAACGCTGTCATGCAATAGGATCTCGTCATAGAACAC